CGCGGTTATCAAAGTCATAGCTCATTCTTATTTAAGTCTTACCTGATTCTTATCGGAGTCGTATGAAATTCTTGCCATTTTCGTGCGGACTTCTTATGTAAGAATCCGATAAGGCTCGGGTAAGATTCTTACCAGAAGTAACGAAAAATATTTGTCTAGGGTATTCAGTTCACTATTGATATTTAGGATATCGACTGTTGTGATGTTTAGTCTTTTTCTTCTTAGTGAACACACGCAAGATTTCCACACGTGAATTTCTCTTTCGTTTTCTTATTCCTAGTTTTCTTAGATATAGAATAGTTGAAGATAGAGATGCACCGGTTACGGTTAACCGATGAGCGATACATCATTTACTAAGATAGCACTTAAGATAGCAGTTCTTGCTTTCTACACCGTAATAAATAAATTTATTTCAAGAAATAGTTTAATTTGCTTATTTGAAATATAGAAGAAGTATAAAAAACGAAGACTGAAATTTTAAAATTATTTGTCATAAAACTTCTTTGAGAACACGGATTATAACTATCAGTTACAACCGGTATCGATTGCAACCGATAACCGGTTATAACCGCTATCGGTTGTTATAACAATCAAAATTGCATTATATTCTCAAAGAAAAATCCGAGTAAAACATGATGTAATCTACTATCCTAAGAAAGGATCTCAATTCTTACGTCTAAAATAATGTTATCGTATACTTGCGAAGATCACTTTTTGAAAGGTCTGTTTTTCAGCTGTGGCTTGTCGCAATATGATCTCTAAGTTTCAGCGTTAGGAAATGTTTTTTACTGATGTTTTGGTGTCTCAAAAAAAATTTTCTTCAAAATCGCTTTTTATGACGTTATAAAGTTGAGAACTTCTACGAAGGCGCAAAAGAGCGCCTTTTTTCTCGTGCAGTTTTTGTGTATTAAATACCATTGAAATTAGGACGTCAGACGAAAAATTAATTTTAATTTTTGAGAAATTTTGAATAACATGCGTTTATCTCCGTGAATATAAATTTCCGTCACGCAAAACTTTTAAAATCAGATAGAGCTGTACACGGTAGTGAATTTTGTTTACATGGTTTGGGCAGCTCCTTGCAAAACGTCAAACCTGTAATATTATTTAAAATGAAAATTATACTTTCGCTCCATAAATATATATGGCCAGTTTTGGCAGAAAATTTCTGATTTCTAGAAATTTTTAGTATCGTATCTGCGCTTTTTTCTTCTAAGGTATTCTGATTTTGAATTTCTTTTTTCAAGCTTTTTCTGATTTTCACGTTTAGACCGGACATACCTTCCTGGTTGCGAAGTTTAAAAAATTCGTATCTCTGTAACGAAAGATCGTGGGCAGCTGGGAGCAGTCTTATTTCATAGAGAACACTTCACTCTATTATGTTTAACTCGAAAGCGAAAGTTTTTCTAAAAAGAGGGAGTACTCTTAAGTTTAACTTGAGAAAAAAGTCTTTCAGAAACCGGCAATTTATTCGGGACCACCCGTTACACGTCTTTCTCAGAATGCTATATTCAACTTTTCGTTACAGAGAGAGGATTGCTTATCGTCAAGAAATAGGTAATTAAACTGTATTTCGTATTCGATATTCTGTTGTATCTAACTGAAGAAAATTTAAGTATTTGTGATACAATTGTTGCTATTCTATTTTTCATAATTTTATTATGAATATTTATGTGGCTGAGGTATCCATAAACTGACCTTATAAGACACTCCCATTCTCTAAGATAAAAGTTCATAGCTTTCTATTATAATTTCGCACACGGAATATTTTTTTCGAAAAAATCGCGCTACCTATAAGGTAGAAAGTCGCTCCAAACTGGCTTTTTATTGTGAATGGCCTATTAATCTAAGAAGGGGTTTAAAAGATATCTTAACACGAGTTATCAGTAGTACATCCTTTTTCGTTTATTATTAAGTGGCTTAAATAAGAAATGGTACAATATTCATGAAATCATTCAAAAACTCTATTATCGGAAAGTTTTAAGAGCACGACGTCATTAACATTGTTTTTTTTTAAATACCCGAGACATATTTCGTTTGATATTGGTCCGTTACGCTGGTTTTTGTGAAGTATACGGGTTTGGATGCATATGATTTTGATTTTGCGGTTGATTTGGATAAATGTAGCCTTGAGGATGTTGAATAACAACTCCTCGTTGAGAATTTCTGCGTTTAATCAAACAGCATATGACTATAATAAAAACGACTAATGCAGCTAATCCCAGAAGAGATCCAATGACTATACCGACTATGGAACCTGTACTCAATCTTGTGTTATAGCAGCGATATGGATAATAAGAGCTACAATAATAGTAGCCAAAACATGGTGGTATATGATAACACACTAACGATAGCCAAAGAATTGTATCCAAATTATTCATTTGCAATTTTTGTTTTTTGATCGAGATGAAACAAAATAAAGTAGAAGAGTGATTTGATATGTATTCATATATGAAATATAATATTAGTTATGATCCCATTACTTTATTATTCCACTTTTATCGTTTTATTTGAGTAATAAAGCTCTTCCTACAAAAATAAGAGTGTAACAGTATACGCATAATTATGCAGTATTTTAAAAATGAAATAAATATTTTATCGTTTTATGTACATTGGCCTACAGAAGTAAACTATGTAACTTAAATATTCAGATAAAATAATTCGTATTTGTGAAGTACTTACTCGGGTGGATCTTGGTTGAATTAGTCATCTAAAGAAACACATTATCTCATTGTTGGTGAGAAGATCGTACGTTGCGCTATTGTCACTCTCTGAAGGTGTCAAAACGAGTCATCATATTTTAACTTATAAGTGTAAGTTCCGGTATGGTTTATGAATTTCTTTGCATTGAGGTTCTAAGGAAGTTTTCCCTAAGAAGTAACTGGTTATTTGTATTGTTATTCAAGGTGGCTTTGTATTCGTTTTCCATTACCTTTGTACGCACAACTGGTTGCATTCGTGAGACTATTACACCAAGGCTTGGTGTATTCTCATTCACAATACACGAGAATACACAAATGTACTTCGAATTTATTCTCATCTACAAAATGTTGCATAGTGACTCACTCTCATGCAGCAACTCCTTCCTCCCTGACCGCGACACTATATTTGCGTATTCTCATGTATTGTCAATGAGAATACACCAAGCTCACTAAGCCCAGCCAGTTTAAAAAAAGTAGTCGTTTTTTGAGAATACACTGCACACTGATATTCTGACATCTCTGAAGACTAGCGTGGTATCCTGCAACTAGAACTTTAGAGAATGAATTTATGAAACATTTATGGATGACAGATAATTAAAGCCTTACCTCTGTGCGGACGCTTCACGCACGTTACAGATTTAGTTCACTGTTACCCTATTGTGAACTCGGGCTGAAAATGGAGTCAGAATAAAACAGAACTTCTTACGACAAAATTCTTCATTTTGTTTCAAAACTTAATTGTTCTACTTTATTTATTGTTAGTGCTTTATTAGTTCTGCTGATGTTTATAAACAATGGAAGCCAATAACAATGCAAGCTCTGATTTACGCTGACCTCCGCAGCATCAATAACCAGTTGTACCTTAGGGAAAACATCCTTAGAACTTCAGTGTAAAGAAATTCATAAAGCGTATCGGAACTTACANACTTCTTACGACAAAATTCTTCATTTTGTTTCAAAACTTAATTGTTCTACTTTATTTATTGTTAGTGCTTTATTAGTTCTGCTGATGTTTATAAACAATGGAAGCCAATAACAATGCAAGCTCTGATTTACGCTGACCTCCGCAGCATCAATAACCAGTTGTACCTTAGGGAAAACATCCTTAGAACTTCAGTGTAAAGAAATTCATAAAGCGTATCGGAACTTACACTCATAAGTCAAAATACGACGACTCGTTTTGCCACCTTCAGAGAGTGGCAATAGCCATTCCGTTTTATTTTTATATGTAGGATGTGATGGTAGAATTGATGTAGAGATACAAAGTGATTCGTGCAATATGCGAATGGGACCAAGTGACGTCAATGAGAATCATGCACACACCTTGTTTAAAAAATTTTCTCCGTCATGTCTATTTGTTCTGTAATTTCAAGTGATGCATTTTTAGTGTTTGCATTATAAAGTGTGGTCCAAAAGTTTCGACTCCTCTCTGTAAATCGACGTTTTCTATATGAAATACATATAATAAAATTCACCTATTTTTTGCAAAAGATTCACTATTTAATTCTCTACAAAATGGTACAGAGGAGATGATCCTGATACTTGATATTCCCTCTTAATTGAACAGACAACAAAATGCCCTCAAAACTTTCAAAAAATAAAAGATTTTCAACGACGATTTTGAATTTTAAAATCCATGTCCAAGGTGATAGAAAAAAGATCTTAGATTGTTGCTTGGCACATTTAGATATCCTCTATCCGCTGGGGCAAGATTCATTTCATCCGCATCCGTTTGATGTGGTAAAAATGTTTAGTTAATAATTGGTAGCCAAAAATGAAAAAAAATTCTAGTTTCGATTATATTCAGAGAAGTGATATTAGACATTTTGTACGCGAATCGACTAGATAAAACGTTTCTTTTCATAATCACGCAAGAATGAGCCTGATTCATTCATTTTTTAGTGAGCACTGTTTATTTTACTAACAGCACCAAAATGCGCGTTGAGAAAACTGAAGCACAGTTACAGGACTTTTGTAGAAAGCATTGTTGAAAACATGGAAATAACGACAGAAAAATTCGCATTGTAGCCATTCGATAGAGAATTACAAGGGCTACATTTTGGCCTATTCGATGTGAACATAACACCTACATTCAAGCTCATACGGACGAAATACAGTTTTCGAGTTAACTTTTTGAAAGTTTTGGGGTATTTCGATTTCTGTTCAATTAAGATGGAATATCAAGTATCAGGATCATCTCCTATAAACCATTTGTGTAGAGAATTAAATAGTGAATCTTGTGCAAAAAAACAGGCGAATTTTATTATATGTATTTCATATAGAAAATATCAATTTACGGAGAAGGATCGAAACTTTTATACTACCTTTTACCTTCAAAAACGATTCTCTGATTAAATAAAGATATAATTGTCTCTTGTCTAGTAGCCTTGTAGTTTCAAGGACAATTACTTATGTTTATACATTTAAAAATGTCGATCAATTATCGGTAGATGGCTGTGAACGTATTTGTATCGTTATTGCAGGATCATTCACTTAAGAAATATTCGTCGTTGCATGTAAGTTACTGTGAAGCAAAATTAATGAAAATCGGTCAGAAATTGATGGTGGGTGATTGATAACTGAAATATTTAATCATAACTATATAAATATATTTTAAATCTTTGTAAAGTTCAGGAACCTTTTGTTTTCCAAATCATAGTGTTGTACTAAGGTTTTCAATACAGAAATTAACTAAACCAACGTTAACTGGAACACTTTTGTCCATAATTACTAAAATACTAAAGGGAAATCAAGACGACTGTCTGAACGATAAAAGACGACTTCAAAGCAAATTTATATAACGCTTTGTCCTTTTTACCTTTTCCATAATAATTTGAATTAACTTTTAGTATTCTTGCATTCGAACATGCGCAATTTTCTTATACTCTTCACGACTTGTCCACTTAACGTGACACTTCGCTGATCAAGTTTTTTTTGAATTTTTGTCATCGAAAATCGATAGAGGCTCATCACTAGACGCAGCTTTTCATGCTGATCACAAATCCGACTTTTGTTTTGAATAACAAATTAATTTACAATATAAAAATTTTAATCTAATATTTTTAAAAAGTTTAGTTTCAACTTTTTGACCTCGGCATTTTGTTCAAAAGTTTTGAAAATATACCACTGAATAGAGAATTCAATTCTCTACAAAATGGCTCGTTTTGTTTTGAGATCTATCTTTCAGTCGAGACACAGTGGCTGCTTGAACGTTTCACCTTCCGCCTTGGTCTGAAAGCCTCAGAGAATTTTTCGAACTTTACTTTCAACTGGAGCCTTTGTCAGGAAGCTTAGAACTACTCAGACTATAAGTATGAAGTTTTTCGAACAACGTTTAGTGCCTAAAAATGTGCGTCACACCGTCACGAAAAATGTCACGGCGTTACGTTTGTTTGAGCAAAAATAGTTGGAAGAAATTTTTTTTTACCGTTGAATAGCTCGTTCGATGTTCTACAAAACTGGCTCTTAAAACTTTCCAGTTAAATAGATATTTTTGCAGGAAATTAGAGCTTTATCACCAGTTCTCAGAATTTAGGGCCTTTTTATGTCACACCGTTACGCACTGAAGAAGCCTTTTTGAAAGCTCGAGGTATTTAACAGAAGAACTTCAGTTTTACAGCATAAATAGAGTAAAGCGAGCTGCATCGAATGGTGCGAGGATGAGCTTTCTAGCTCTTATAGTTTTTGAGATAATTAAAGATAAATGTGTGAAAAATGTCACGGCGTTACGTTTGGACAAGTCGTTTAATGGTGAACAGATTATCAGATAGCTTCGGTAAAGCGGAAGCAAAATACTATTAGTCATCTACGATTTCATTCTGCTACATACTCGAAATTTCTCTACTCATCAAATACATACCAGTCCAATGCATAATGCAAGAGAACTAACTAGTATAAATCAACGATTGCTGTGTATTAGTGTTGAAATGGAACTCCGAATAGAAAAATCATTCGGAATATTTTCTTTGTATATAAATAATCATTAAAAACAAACATTACACGATCACGTGCGTTCGATCTCTATCTTTGTCAATTAACCGACGTTTGAGCGATCGATATTTGAGGACCGATACTTGAATCAAGCGCATCACTTATAGTTACTCACCCTCATCCCTATCCGTTACAGATCTCCAAGTAATTTAGTTCATAATTGGATGACAAAGAAATTGTTATCATCATCGTGATTAATCGTTATCGAAGTGAATAATCATTCCATTTTCCTGATCGGAAAAGTCATATTGAAAAGTGTCGAATGTTGAAGTCGCTCAAACGTCGGTTGACGGTATGGTTATGTATACAATAACTTTCAAAGATAATACACATACTCACTTTTCTCTTTCACTAGGATAGTTTATTCGACTTTTTTTATTTTGATCGACAGATCTCCTCTTTTAGCTCTCTCTCTATATATATTATTCTGGCAATATAAAATTCAAGACCTATGTTTCAAAACATTTCAACTTTTTCGTTGAAAATCAATGGTTAATTTTTGTGCTCATTGATTTATGCGAAAAAACAATTGTTTTGGAAAATATTCATTTTTCTTTTAAAATTTCTAACATAGAGAAAGATTAACATCTGTACCAGTAATTGTAAACAGATAATATCGACAATCAAGTACTATTTGATCAATTAAGATACTTTTATCGTTTGTAGCATAACAAAAAGTATGTATCGTACACTTTATATCTGTATCGAGGATCCATCGTTCAAAAAATTCGTGTTTTGTAAAAGAAAGTACATTTTAAGATTTAGACATGGTTGGTTATGATAAAAAAGAAAGATTTATAATGAATATGTGAAAAAATGTTTTGATTCATTATGGAAACAAAATTATATTATTGTTGACGATGTCATTCCTAGCGACTATCCTAAATCTAAGGTACTTTAATACTGAATAATCCATCCAATGCAGAACTTAACATTTTACAGATGAATTTAGCTTTTCTTCATCAGAAATGAATATAGCATTTTTGTTAAAACTAGAATTATAAGCAGAATTCAGCTGTTTTACAGTATAAAACTTTTTCAATCGATCCAGAAATAAATTTTCTTTTGGTTTAAACTATATTTATTATAAGATAAACTTCTTGACACTCCCTGCTAAATCGGCTCGCCATTATATAGCAAGAAGTGCAAGTCCACGATGTCGTGCGTTACCAATGTTTTGACAAAAAAAGAAGCTAATAAAAGCAAAAAGTTTGATTTGGTTTAAACTATTTATTATGATAAAAAACAAAAGTAAGAAAAGGCATATCAGGGTATCAGAAAACTTAGAACCGCCGAAGGGCATTGTACTTAGTAGTCTGAATTAAATGTTTCGTAGACAATCATGCTTCAGACAAAACTGGGATGATCTTAGCAAAAAGTTTCCATTTTATTCAGTGTCAAACATTTCTTTCCACATCACAAAATTATTTTATTTTACTTAACAAACAGCTGTTCGAGAATTACTGTGTGCAAGTATTCACATTCAAAACGAAAGTTTAATGAACAAAACATCCAGGAGTTACATTTCTTCTTTTGTATATATAACTCTTCTTTTGAATATATTTTAATCGAGCTTATGTATTTGCAGTTAGTTTGCATGAAATTTAGAAAGCATCGAGTTTCACTGCTGCTGCTGTTTTCTCTCTATTTCAGCTTGCATAATAGCCAAAAGAGCATACGCAGCTGCACCATGCGCAAAACCGACACAGAAAAAGCCAAACAACGGTATAGACAATAAAAATACATAGGGCAAAGTAAATATAAGTAAAGATACATAATGTTTACGTAAAAAGTGTCGAACATGTTTGTGAGGAGCAAGTTCGTGTATTGTTGAAAGCGGCAATGGTTGAATTATTTTGGGAAGTTGAAAACCAAACATATAAAATGATGTAGATAATGTATTTGAATAAACTTGAGGTTTCTCAAGAGGTACTGGTGGTAAAGGCGTTTTCGTATGATGAAGTCGAGATAAATAGGTGTCGAATAATTCTCGAGCAAGAGATGTTGCTGCCAGCTGAATGTGTAATAGTGACATAGCGTACGACTGGATAGGTTCGAAAAATGCTACGATAGCAATCATTGATAAAAGAACAACTCGAACTGCTAAACTTTTAGTGTGTGAGAGTGTATGACGAACATAATTTAACAGCCACAAAGCAGGAACAAAACGACCTAAAATAATAAATCTCAAAATGATGTTAGCAAAGAATAAAATTTATTAAAAGTAAATTGCTTATATGAACCGTAAATTTTAATCATAATCAAACGTTTTGGCTTGATAAAGCCTTTATCAATGGCAAAATAACAAGAAAGGTACTTAGCAACAATACAAATTAGTAAATATCTATCAGAAATGTAAAAAGTACATCTAAAGCAAACACATAATCATTGGATTCTCCCACATATGAAAGAAAGCAAGAAGAACACCGGAAGAATATTGAATATTGATAAAAGTAAATAAAGGTCATGATACTACACGACTTTAAATCTCTGATAGCAGAACATTATGCATTGGCGAGAACTGAAATACTGACTTTGCTCATTCTGTCATTTATGATGAAAATGAGCAGAACTATGTTTCTCTCACATTTAATTAGCTAACCAGTTGTTTTTTGTCTATCTTTGATAAAATACAGACGTGTACTTAGACACACAGCATACTTTCTTTTGAGATAGCTGCCAAGAAACAGCGTAAATGAGAACAAGAGAATATTTTATCAATCTCTAAAAACTTACTTCGGTTACTTAAATGAGTTATGGCAAGAGATACCTACATTTTTTTTCGCACACTTCATTGATGCAAACCGATGTGAAGATCTTTTTGCGTCCTGTTAGTTTTCTGGACCGGTTGCTGTCGCACAGACGGCTATATTAGAATAAGAACCGATACAACCAAAAAACAAAATGCAAGAAAACCGCTATATCAATTTACATCTATAGTGCATCCTCCTTAGCAAAATTCTGGCTACGGGCCCGATCAATGGTCTCCATTAATTAAATAATGGATCAAAAAAGATTCAGATCGTATGTTTAATCATAAATTGAAACATCGTGATCAATACAATGACCCTAAATTTCACAACTTAAGATCACGAAGATCAGTCGATTATAGAATTTGATAAGTTTAGATTTCATATGTAATTTTAATTTCTTTGCTTTAGATATACTTCTTTTTACATTTCTAATAGATATTTACTAATTTGTATTATTGCTAAGTACTTTCCTTATTATTTTGTCATTGATAACGGCTTTATCAAGCCGAAACGTTTGGCTATTATTAAAATTTACTGTTAATATAAGCAATTTATCCTTAATTCTTGTACACGATTCGTAAAAGCAGCAGCTATGAATAATAATTACAAAATTTATATTTACCTAATAAGGGTACTGATCGAAACAAGTTGATTAACATAACAAAACCAAGTAGAATCGTCGTACGTCGAATAAAATAATATAACATAGTTAAAAACTTTTGACGAGGTCTTAACTGTAATTGGTAAGCAAACGTTGGATGAAGAGAATAAAGAACAGAGAAAAACACCTTCTCATAGCCTAGTAAATTGTTCATGACGAAGACGGCGAATAATGGTATGAACCAACACAGACGAACCAATAAATTCGACGGTGACAGCAGATCATGTAAATGAGCGTATGTTTCGGTATTGAACAGAGGGCTGAACGATAGAAACCAAAGTAACATACGAAATGGAATACAAAAACATACGATGACAACATAAACAGTCAACGTTGAAATCAATAAGCTAGAGAAGGATTTTAATTGTGTTTTCCACACGTAATCATTGTTCCACGCTAATATGAAACCGCGCACAGATGACGTTAACCCCAGATGTATTTCTGATAAAATTCGATCGAAAACTACAGCCGGGGGACGATGTGTTGTTTGATGTGCCATGAAAATCTACAACAATTACAAAGCGGATCAATGCTGAATGAAACTGAGCGTATTTCAGTCGTGTAACATCACGATATTTCAAGTGGACTGGATTTGAACTTTTTTTAGCCTTTACTGTGAAAAAGAACTGCATATACAAAAAAAGACGCCAAAGTTGATTCTCGCTTAGTTCTATTAACACAACTCTCTTGAAGAAGTATCTAAGTACATCCTCAAATAGATAAATGAAGACCAGCGTTTCAGATGACAAAGTGTACGTAGGTTTTGAAATTTTAAAATGCACTATGTTAGACATCTATATTATATCACATCTGATGAGCAAGTGAGTCGCCGAATAATATACAGTTTCGCCAATCGCCATCGTTTGTTTATCTTCTCTTTGTTCATATAGAGACGAACAATAATGAGTCATCAGTGATAAATATCATTTTCAATAAATATCATGCAAACTGTATTTAAAATTTTCATCGTGTACGTATAATTTGTTATTAAGAACACTGTAACTAATACCGGTAATTCGTAAACAAACTTCTTCCACTCAAGCGATCCACGAACTACCTATAAGCACTACTTACACGTATATAATCATAAGAAAGAGAATAGAAAGATATGCATGTGCGAAAAGAGATATCTCTTTATTGACTAGAGTTCTCTATTCAGAGAAAAGAATCTTCGAAAAAAGAATCATCTTCGATATAATAGGCGGCATGTTCGATATAACGGGCGGCAGGAAAGTCGCAGCTGACATACAATGATTAGTCATTTTACATGGTAAATTTGACTTAGAATATTATACCTTGATCTGGGAGTCGTATTAAGAGAAAGCTTAAGTCATCGACCTACGTCTAAGTTTAAGATCCACTTACGTGCGGGAACTTAAACCGTATTACGAAAAGACTTAACTTTGTGATTCGTTTACTTTTTTAAAGTCGTTGACATCGGTGACAAACTTCAGAGAAAAATCCACAAAATAACGAAATATTCATTCTCGAAACCATAAAAGGTCGTTTTCATCGAATCGTATCGTTAAATGCCTGAGCCATTCGAAAATGAGTCAATGACTTAAGTTTTCGGTCTTAACTTTAAGACTACATTCCCCATGACTTAAATTATTTTGTAATACAGTAAAACTTAAGTCCAAAGGCTTAAGTTAGTGACTTAAACCCAAATGTTGACTTAAGTTAGACTTTCGTAATACGGCCACCTGCCAGTTCGGATACGATAGGACTGAGAATGGAAATCTCTGTTGTCTATTATAGGCTTGTGTATCTCTGGTGAAAAAATGTGAAGTTTAAGTTTAATAAGAAGCCTAGATCAGTGTTTCTCCGCTGAGCGTACGAATACACTCTGTTGTTCACATCAAAGCTTATGCGCACGCTCGGTTTATTAAGCGTACACGTTTCAAATCTAATACAATACACTACTTAAGAAAGGTTTTATTAATTTTCTCTTAAACATAAAAAAAGTTCTATTAGAAAACAAAGCGTAAACAACGATAGCACTGCTATTTATGATAGCAAAGCGTAAAACCGAGCGTATTTTTAAATTCCGAACCGCGTGTATACCTGATACAGTGAGTACGGTTTGCCATTAAGAATACTGGCTAAAACTGATAGTGGAAATTTCTATTGTCCATTAGAGACTTGTGCCTCTGTGGTAAATAAATGTGTTCAACAACATAAAAAGTGATTAGTGCACTCTTGCTATCAGTGACGCGCGTTATCTAATATATACGGACACTTTTTTGTATGTCTCGTTTAAAATGAGGGTAACAAAAATAAAGGCATCTTTATACAGGTGTGCATAGTATAAATCATATGTTATATATAACACAGACAACGCCAGATGGTGACAGTACAGAACGTAGACAAAAAAACTTGTATAGTCCCTTCTATTCATCATGCAATAACTAAACAGCTTCCTGATATTAAACGTTCGTATATATAGAAAATAAATTCTTAATATAAGAGAGAAGCAAAAATGAGTATCATTTCATTACACTTTTCCCGTGAAACAGCCCAAGCCAAGCAAAATAGAAAGTAAATTCGGACTAAAGTTAGTTCAATTAAAAAAAGAGACCGATTTTTACGGAACTTTTTCTGGTAAACAGAGTACTTCAACAACTCTTTTTTAGGTGCATTGGCAGTTGATTGGCTGTTCTTGCGTTGCTTCATGTCAAGAGATCACGTACCATTCTAGCGTATCGTAACTTGATCTGGCATAGTTTTACTTTCCAGTAGTCCATGCATAAAACATTAATGGAAATGGCGAATGATAATCTATGGACCGACCAATCAGAGAAGCAGCATACTAATGCGCTAGTAAATATTAAAAGAAAATGATACGAATAGGCCGATATGAGTACTAATACAAAATTAAACAGATAAGTACAAAACGTTATTGCATCGCGCTAAAGATAGATGTCGCTAAATTATTGACATCAGCTTTAGATAGGAAAGATAAGTGGGAGCTGATGTATTCTTAAGGATGGGTTAACGGTCTAAAAATTTCATCATGATGCATTCTTCCCTAATCAGTTTTACAAACCTGTACAAGCACTTTCGCGATTAAACAAACAATAAATACAAGGTATATATATGAGACCTACGTCACATCATTTGTCCAGAGCCACCGGTTTATTGATGAGAAAGAAAGCTGTACACTTTAAAAAGTTAAACAGAAGTTTGTCCTACTTGGGGTAGAACTAACAAGTATATGTATTAATTTTTGTCGGCAGGTGTTGGTTGGTCGGCTTGAGTTTCGTTTAGTGTGAAGTACGTATCGAGATTGGAAGACTTGAAGGACGAAAATCAAATTGCTGATCATAGAAAAAGTTGTTTTTTGTTAAAAACTCAATTAAATTTTTGTGAATTAACTTTTAAAAAATTTTGCCTACATTTGAAATCAACGAAATGGTCGTTACCAAAAGTTTTCATATATCAGGCAATACTCCTTTATCAGTAGAACGAGAGATGTGACATAATTGTAATAATTTTATATAAGCGCTTGGTTATGAACATGTAACAGGGGGTATTGTTCATACCAACCTTTTTTTAATGTCAAGTGATTTGATATGCTCATGCAACCCCGATACGATAAAATTAATTGTAAAAAGAAAATTAAAAGAAACTGTAGTGTGGAATTTATGCATATACTCTGTACCATATACAAGAAACATACATAAAATACCCTTGAAAAATAAAAAGTGTAGTCGAATAAGTACAAAATGTACACGTGTAATTGAGGTATATTTCTTGTATAATAGTAAATGTCCATGAGAACGTTCTCTTCTTCGTTTGTTGCATTCTCTTACTTATATACTACAATACTTGTTATTTTAAAAATCACGAATAAATTGAAGAATTTAAATGCGGCAGAGCGCTCTAACGACCGGCATACATTTTGACATGTTCCCAAGTAAAAAAATCTTTATCCAAATAAAAATTTAATTACAGGACTAAAAGTGAAATGCAAGTTGCCATACATATATCTATCAACAGGACCGGCTCAAGCCAATTTTCAAGCGTGTGTCAAAAATGTTTTTGTTCCTTTTTATATCAAAAAATTTTAATTCTTTTAAAGCTCCTGTTGAAAGGTGCTTTTATATGAGTAACGAGACGCCTTTCGAGTTTCGCGCCTGTGTGCTGGGCACGCCTTCAGCCGGCCCTGTCTATTAAAAGCAAATGACGATAGACAAAATCAATGGATGCACACACCAAACCAGAAACTCAAAATATCTTCAGCTCAAGCCAATAAAATGTTAAAAGCGATCGCTTTTAGTGATGATGAACGCGAAGAGAAAATAACAGACAATGTCTCTTTAATATATGTTGAGAATGTATGTAATATAATAGTTTGCGTTAATCGATATATCAATCACTCTAAACATGGGACTGTCTTAGGAAGCATTTCAAAATATATTCCGGCCAGCCGGTCGCTATTCCTCTGTTCCTCTATTGCATTATTCCTCGACTATAGAACATTTCATTGTACACTAGTTTATAAATATTGAGCTTGATTTTCTTTTCTAATTGTTTCTATTTCTTCAAAAAACAATTAACCGCCATGTTTCCAAAGATTATTCGTTGTATATGCATGTATTACTTATAATGCGATCAAAAGAAACCGAAAAAATAAAATAAAATGTAATTGAAATGAGATAGAACAGTCTACTTAGGGAGCATTTCAAAATTGTATAAATAGAAAAAAATATAATAATTTTCTTCTTCAGTGGCGGGTTAGAGTCTGTTTTTTGGTGTGGCAATAAATTTGAAAAAGTATCAATAGTGAGAAAAAAATAAAACTGCTTTTGAAACTATGAGCGCACCCATGTGGTCGCACCAATTTTTTGGTGTGGCAATTGCCACAACTTGCCATCACGTCGACCCGCCACTGTTCTTCTTATTTGTATGTATATATTAAATATCACTACAAATCTCTAATAATTAGTAATACTTTTATTTAATTTTGTCCTTATTTGACTGCATTTTTTATTTTGTAATTCTTTATATTGATTAGGAGCATGTCGAAATTTAAATTCTAATTTACTTCCAATGTATTCGTTTTTTTAACAGACATCTTTATAAGTTCAGTTATTTTTCTGTTTAAAGAATAAAATTAAAAAGCAACAAATTTTATAGTTTCATCAAATGTACATCTTTTATACATTCAAGGAGGGACCCTAGTGAATGTACTCAAGTGTGAGTACTCAAAAAGTACTCTGCTAGAAAAATCGGACGAGTACTCATACGTACTCATACATTTTTTTACTCACTGAGTACTCACCTGAGTACTCATGAGTGAGTAACAAGTACTCTGAGTACGACTTTGAGTACTCATGCTTGGGTATTGTTGAGTACT